CAATATCTATTTTGTAACAATTTCCACATATTTGTCTATACATTTGGTTTTGCAATATTTTAATTTTTTTCAAGTTGTAAAGAAACTTTGTGGACACTATATATATATATATATATATATATATATATATATATATATATATATATATATATTGCCAATTTGTGACTGGTAGGGTTAATTAGAAGCCGGTTCAACTAAGGATATATAAATGATAGGAATTAAGGAGGATTTGAGATAATTAAGTAATTCATCAAGTCTAGAAGAAACCTATCATTTATATATCCTTGCTTGAACGGGCTTCTAATGCTCTGGATGGAGCAGCGTGGTGATGGAAGTCGTGGCTCTCGGAGCCACAGTCCTATAGGTAAAGGAACTTGGATGAGTTCCACAACGGAATATGTCAACTAGCGGTGCAATATCGAATCTAGTTCGTTACCTCTTCGTCACCGAGGCCTCTTAGTACAGTTGGTACGACGTTTGCCTATCAATGTAACTGTCTGTGTTTCAATTGGCGGTTGTGGATGCGCACTCCTGATGAGTCCCAAATATAGGACGTATCGGCCGTCCAGTACTTTCTGCCTGCATTCTGTTGAGGTTTCTTCTAGACTCGATGAATTACTTAATATATATATATATATATATATATATATTGCATAAAACTGATGCTGTTAGGCATTGGGGATGTGCTTCCTTTCATATATATTAGACCTGACAGCTACCAACTAACACTTTCCCCTAGTGTTACATGAGCCTGAAAATGGACACTCATTTCAAACCGCGTCGAGAATGTCTCCCAGCAGGCTATCGACTTCTATGATTCCAAGTTTTCAACGTGATGGAATAAATTTATTACCTGATTGTCGGCAATATTGTATTGACCTTAAAATGGTTCGTATTGGCGTACGTTTGCATTCGTGTCGAGTTATGGTGTTTTAAATCTGTGGCTTCGAAACGTCTGTTTATTTTCTTCCGACCTAATGTCAGTAGTGAAAACCTCTATGAGTTAAATCAACACGATTAAATCTCAACAATCTTCCCAAAACAAAAGCCGCATGATGTTTATACATCTTTCTGTATGAAATTAAGTCATTTGAAAGCAAATAGGTGGATCTTCTATCTGCTGTGTCCTTTCCAAAGGTGATATGCTCTATTCCCTGTCCGCTGTAGCTCTTAATAGATTTTTACCTTTTTGTTATCTCTTAAACCGTGTTTCGCCATTCATTCACGCAAGCTCGCTAGGGAGGTTTTCCTTCGTACCTATTGCCTTCAATCTGTCTTGTGAGTATCAAATTTTCCAAGCCTTCTTTCCTCATTATTCGCCCTAATCATTTCAGCTGTCTTTTCATGATCTTAAGTATATGTTTTCTTTTTGGTTCAATTTTCTCTTCGTCGTTGCTGCCATGTTCGGCTCATGGTATTCTAAACATCCTTCTGAAGAATTAGATTTCTATTTCTATTGATTCTATTTCTATAGATTTCTATTGCTACATGTCTCTCCATCATTCACTGCCATACTGATAATACGTAGCATTTCATTACTATTTCCTTGGTTTCTAACGATTTTTTTCCTGTTCCTTAATACTTTGCTTAGCTTTTGGAAAACGTCTTTCGCTTCGCAATACTTCGTCCGATTTCGATGTCACATTTTCCGTCCTCTCTTAAAACACTTCACAGATATGAAATTGTTGTACTTCTTTGCTTTTGGTACCTCCAATTTGTACATGTCAGTGTATTCATTTTCCTAACAACTATGCATTCTGTCTTTTTGCAATTAATGTTTAGTCCTTTCTTCTCGCTTTCCTTTACTCCATTGTGTAGGAATTCTTTTACTTTCTTTTATACGTCTGCTATCAACATTGTGTAATCTGCATATTTTATGTCTTTAAGATTCTGGCCGCCAATAACGACACCTGGTAGAATTTATAATCTCTCTAAAACTGAATAGGTTGAATAAGTTATATTCTTGTCTTAAACTCCGTCCCATTTTTCTATATTAACTGAATTCCTTTTCTATCCGTATGCAGGCCAGTAAACTTCTGGATTATTCTAAGATCCTTCCCAAATATGTTAAGGTTAACGAGCAGTTCAAACACTTCTTTGTGATGGACTTTTACATCTTATATATAAAGCACAGTGTATGTGTGTTTGTGCGTGTGTTTGTCCAAGCAACTCCACTGGTCCGATATTCAATAATTTATAGCTCATTCAAAAGCCCTAAGAAAGTTAAGCACAGGGAACGATTTTTGTTGAGCTCAGATTCAGGGTTACCAGATTATGCGAGGTTAAAAATATATATTAATATATTATACTAGCCATTGTCGTTGCTTTCTTGGATCAAGGGAAGTAACTCTTATTTTTCTCTCCTATCCCAAATTGTGGTGTACGATTTATTATAAACTAGCTTAAAATCCGCCCTATCGGGCGGTATTTAAAGTAGCTCCTGCGGAGGGCTCTTGGTTTGGCTATCATCACAATAGCTAGGGAGGAGTAGACATCAATAAACTACAGAAGAACTCAATATTGATTGCTGCATTTATGTATTGAATTAATATTTTGGCTTATTTTTTTAAAAGTTCAAAGATAATTCTTCTACTGCCACTTGATTTAATGGCGATTTGATGTACGTAGATCTTATTTACCTTACAAACAATTATTTTTATTTCATGGGTTACAATTATATAAGATAAAATTAATATAGTGTAAGGATGGGAAAATGTAAATCCGAATTACTTATACATTAAACATTTGAAATGTTAGAGAAACATAATAGCTTATTCAGTAAAAATTATATTATGGAATCAATAAGAATAAATGCGAAATTGGATCACAATTATGCAACGTATTCTGGGGTTAAAATGCTCCACCTCTACTTTACAGTAATTTATATATACGGAACGATGAACATCGGTATTATATAACATCTACTTGAAGGTGATATTATTCTTCAGGTTTAACTAATTTGCATATTTATTTTAAAAAAGTATATTTTATTAATTAACTGTCCTACATTAGTGTTCTTTTATTTAAGAATTTTTTTGATTTTCATATCAAAAATAGTTTTGTTTGGGAATATTGTCCTATATAGTGGGGAAAAGTGCTTGAAATTTGCATTTAACTTGGTTTTCAGCAAGTTGGCATCTATTTGTAAAACTTTCCTTAACTATAACAAGCCAATTTATGAATGAAATATTCATTTAAAATTTTCGTTTCAAAGATTTCAAGTAGTGAATATATATTAATTTGCGAAACGATAGCGAGCGGGCGTAGGCTGCTAGTGCTCTATAAAACAGAGATACGCATCCTGCTGCATTGGTCTTTCGGATATCAGAAATGTGGTGGGATAAATACCTCAGTTTATATCTGAAATGTTTCCTGCAAAATCAACAAGAAATATGAGAACTGAATTAATCTTCGTTTTTTTTTTGTTTTTGTTTTTTTTCAGAAACATTTTTACAGAGAACATTTCTCCAAACTCTATGCTTCTCTACAATTACTCTATCGTAGACATATCCATGTGTAACGTTATCGTTGTATATTTTAATGAGAACACGTGATCATATCTCTTAGGCGTAAACATTAACCGGCCGTCCTGGGTATGACGATAAACTACATCCGCGTCCTGGGTAAGACGATAAACTACGTCTAACAGCAAGGCCTTTGATCAGGAGGCTTTGAGGAGCGTGGAACCACCTCTTAATTGCTGGTGTTCCCAGGTTTACCCTGACCAGGCGTGGCAGCACCTGTTAGGGTCCCAGCTATGGGCAAATAGTTAACCACGAAACTGAGGTAAAAAGCATTACGAAAGTGTAAAACCAAGTTATAATACCAAAAATATTTTGTAAAAAATTATTACCAGAAATTAATTTTTGAAGAAAAACTATTATCAGCAATACGTTTTTGAAAAAAAAATTTTACCAGCAATACATTTTTTGAAATTATATTACCAGCTACACATTTTTGAGGAAATAAAATATTACCAGAAATAGATTTTTGACAGAATAAAAATATTACTAGGAAAAAAGATGTCGGCATTAAATGACCCATTGAGGTTGATATGCCGTAAAAGAAATCAAACCAAACCAAACCTAAACATTAACCGACAGTCCTTTACTTGAGTGGCGTAAAATAAACTGCTATTCCCTGAATGGCGTAAAATCAATTTATTACAATTAAACACGATTACAACGGGTAATGGTGGACTACACAGCAAACAAATGCTGAAATTACGGAACTGTTCATGTATCGCAGACGCTACAAAATGCTGCTGAGCGATAACGACGTCATGAAAACATATCCCGTGGTTGATTCCTTCCTTTCTAGCATGCGTCCTGGGTAAGACGATAGACTACATCCGACAGCAAGGCCTTTGATCGGGACGTTTTGAAGAGCGTAGAACCACCTCTTAATTGCTGGTTTTCCCAAGTCCACCCTGACCGGGGTGATAGCACCTGTCAAGGTCCCAGCTATGGGCAAAAAGTTACCTCCACCAAAGAGGTCAAAACACTATGAAAATATGGAGATAGGTTTTAATACCAGCAATCCTTTTTTTTTTAATAATTATTACCAGAGGTACATTTTTGGAAAGAAAAATATTACCAGCAATAAAAATCTTGTCGACATTATATAACCCATTGAAGTTGATATGCCGTTAAACAAATCAAACCAAACCTTTCCAGCATAGGCAGCCCCATCATCTGAAACACTATGGGACCGTGTAGAATAGCTTACGGCCATATCATGCAGAATCATCGGTTCCTGCACGATCACCGACGTTAAGCAACGTCAAGCCTGGTCAGTAACTAGATGGGTAACCGCTTGGAGCTATCAGGTTCTGTAAGATTGGATGTTCGGGTAGAAATGGCCTACGGCCATATCATGTTGAAACTGCGGTTCTAGTACGATCACCGACGTTAAGCAACGTCGAGCCTGGTCAGTAACTAGATGGGTAACCGCTTGGAGCTATCAGGTTCAGTAAGATTGGATGTTCGGGTGGAAATGGCTTACGGCCATATCATGTTGAAACTGCGGTTCTAGTACGATCACCGACGTTAAGCAACGTCGAGCCTGGTCAGTACCTAGATGGGTGAACGCTTGGGATTTGTAAGTCGGAAAACTGTTCCAATTCCAGTTCGTTATAATTACTTACAACCAAATCTCACTGTGAAATATATGAATCCATATCTTTCCCCTCTATATATGGATCAATTAGTAAGAATTGTATCATTAAATCATTGTCCACTAAAAATATTTTCTGCCTTTAAATAAGCCGCAACGGTTTGATGAGCCATAGAAAATATAGAATCTATCAATCAATCGACTACTGATTCAGAGATGAATATAATATTCTGAATGTAAATAGAATAAGTAATGATAAATCCTCACCCCAAAGATTCGAAGAGAATCAAAGGCATGTATTTTAGATTTATTTCCATTCTCTTGATTATAAATGTGTAGACATTACCTTGGCTATAAAGTGAGGGATTACTTTATATATTGATTGTAATATAGAATTGATTCTCCACTTTATATCCAAATTATAATTTCTTGTTTTTTTTTTATCAAAGTCGGATTAGGTATGAACCCACTTAGTGTCCCTCCAACTATAGGTTAACTAGTAAGACTTGTATCACTTAAAATCATTATTATCCCCCTCCACCAAATTCTTAGAATCTAAAAATATCTTTTGGCTTTAAATGACCTACCTAGAAAACTACTCGATTAATCAATAAGAAAACTGGGGATAAATTACAAATGGCTACAAGGCCCCTGATCAGAAGGTTTTGAGGAACGTAGAATCATTCATTAATTGCTGTTGTTCCCATGTTAACTCCGACTCAGGATGGTAGTACCTGTTTGGATCCCAACTAAATGTTACCCCCCAAAACTGGGGTCAAAACACTATGATAGTATAAAAATAAATTTTTATAATGAAAATAACAGTAATACATTTTTATAATAAAAAAATTACCAGCAATACATTTTTTAAAATATGTTACTAATGCTCTTAATAAAATTAAAATTTGGCATTAAATGACCCATAAGGAGTTGGTATACCGCTAAAAAACAAACTAATTGCTATTAAAAATGTAAAATTTCTCCATAAAAATAATCCATGTTAATATATATCTACTGATATTGAAAAGAATGAAGATTTTCAATAATTTATACATATTTGGAATGAACCTATTGGGTCGGACAATAAATATCCTGAAGTTTTATTGGATTTTTTGTTCATTGAATTCCAATACAATGGCAGTCTATTGAACTTTTTTATTATTGAAGTATGTTTCAGTTTATTTATTTAGTAATTAGTGATGAATTCAAACAAATTCCTGGACATATATTCAAGTTTAAAAATCGATTAACATTTTCTGTTGCTATGAAATTTGTAAAACTCCTGTATAAAAATAATCCATGTAAATGTATACATGTTAATATGGGGAAAAAAATGAAGAATTTCAATAATATATTATTTGGAATGCACCTTTTGAGCCGTACAATTTTGGAAAGGTTGGGTAATGACAATTTGACATATGGTGAAAAGGGTGCACTGGGAGAGGGAGAATCACTGTTCTCAGGTACAAAACGGGTTACATAGAATATTTTCCACTTCATTTGGTTGACAAATTTCATTCATTTGCCTGACAAATGTTAATAAATAAATAATAATAATGTTAATAGTAAAAAATAATGTAATAATAATAATAGTGATAATAGTATAATAATAATGGTATAATAAAAATATAATATAATAATAGCATAGTATAATAATACTACTAATAATAGTAATAAGTAATAATAATGTAATAATAATAATAATAATGCAATAAGTAAAGTAAATAATGTAAATAATAATGTTAATAATAATAATGTTAATATTTTAAATTAGATAATATAGTAATAAAGTAGTAATAACAATATTATAATAATATAACATAATAATATAATAATAAGTAAATTAAATAATCTAAATAATAATGTTAATAATAAAAATAAATAAATGATAAGTCATTCATTTGCCTGACAAATGTTAATAAATTGTTCATTTGAGTTTCATTGATGTCCAACACTAATCACTGTTCTCAGGTACGAAACGTGTTACATAGAATATTTTCTACTTCATTTGCCTGACAAATGTTAATAAATAATAATAATGTTAATAATAGTATAATAATAAGTAAATTAAATAATGTTAACAATAAATAAATAAATGATAAGTCATTCATTTGCCTGACAAATGTTTATAAATTGTTGATTTGAGTTTCATTGATGTCCAACACTAATAAATAATTTCTTTTCTGTTTCTCTTTTACAGATCACCGATTTAACATCTCTTCTTTGACCAAACAACTGTGGCCTGTTGTGCAAATGATGACACCTCCACTTTATTTAATCTTTCAAACAACTAATCTTTTTTTATGTTAAGAGATGCAATTTTATTTCTCTTCTTTGTACAATTGATGATTATTATTCAATTGAAATTATTTCTTTTCTTTCATTTTTATTGCTTTTTATGAAAATGTTTCCATTGTTTTTGCTTTAGAAGCAGGAATCAGAAATAAAAACTGAAATAAAATGCTTCCAGTGAGATTTGAACTCACTTGTTTCATCCTTAAGAGTTCAAACCTCACCAGGTATTTATATTTTATTGCAACCTATAGCTATTAAATTTGTAAAACTCTTCTATAAAACTAATCCAAGTAAATGTATATGTGCTAATATGGAAAAGAAGAAAGATTTTCAATAATATAGGTAACGGCTGTCCCAATAATTGGACCGATTTTAAATGTGAATTAAGTTTAAGCGTCTAATGAGTTTTTTTTCTTTTTCTTTCTGATTTGGCAGACATTTGGGCGATATTATTTTTCCCATATAATTTCCATGACTTAAATAACATGATCCAATAGAGAAATAAATAAATTTTCACCAGTAACAGTTATTTATTTACTGCTGACTTTGATCCGTCTTAATGAAACACCCTTATATATAATCCGTCTTAATGAAACACTTTTATTTTGTTTACAATGCACGTTTTGAGTCAGAAAATCTTGGAACGGTGGGGAGGGGGTATGACATTCTGACATATGGTGAAAATGGTACACTGGGCAAAAAAGGTTGAGGACTAGTTGTACTTCTAATGAGGCTTGGAATGCTTCGATATGTCGCCAGACACAAACGATTTTCTAGTCAAATATCATTCTTCTATCAAACCAAGATATTTCATAGAGCCAAAACGCTGGAAGACGGTTTCTAATGTCTGAGCAAAAGAACAGTTCTGGTGTATTGAAATTCAGATGATCTTGATGACTAGCTAATGCCTTCGCCACGTCGATATGATTCGATTTAGTTTCCAATAATTTAGCGTGAAATATTCATGTGTGAAGTGGTACCATCTGAAACTTTGGACGGATTCGGTACATATGTGTTTCCAGACCAAATCCACATCGGCTGGAGACATGTGGTCAAGCGGTTACTTAACGTTTCAAATCTTGTTCTTCTTTTGTCACTTCATGTTTCCGAATATTAGATACTAGTAGCCATACCAAGTTGGTCGGTAAAAAAAGGCGTTCAATTAGAATGGAGCAAAAACAGCATCATGTTTAGAAATAACAGAGCGTATCTTCTTCAATTACTTTAAAGTACTTGCATTAAAAAATCATTTGACACTTTTGTAATGTCAACGAATACTCGTTGTCACTTTTGTAATGCTCGTTGTAGTAGCAGATACAACTATAGTACGCCGTTGAACAATACTGGTGACGGACGCCTTCGAATAACACTCTGTATAGAGGATAGATTAGAAATGATGATCCATATAGTAAAAGAGAAAAAAATAGAAATAACGAGCGTTAGTCGTCAGTTACTTTCTACATATATGCGTTTGCTTTATGACCACGTGGTCTACTTTAATTCCGAGGCAATTTATTCCTGTATAACACCGATATAACAGAAGTAGTCTGTATTTATTCAATCGAAGTTAGCCAAGGGCATGAAGGTGTAAAACAGGCAATATGAAGACCCACTTCAGACCACAATTATTGATGACTAGCTAATGCCTTCGCCACGTCGATATGATTCGATTTAGTTTCCAATAATTTAGCGTGAAATGTTCATGTGTGAAGTGGTACCATCTGCAACTTTGGACGGATTCGGTACATTTGTGTTTCCAGACCAAATCCACATTTAGTTGGTCAAGCGATTACTTAACGTTTCAAATCTTATTTGAATTATGTCAGCCTTGTGCTTCTTTCTTCACTTCATGTTTCCGAATATTTGATACTAGCAGCCATAACCAGCTGGTCGATCAGGAAAAAAAAGCGTTCAATTAGAATGGAGCAAAAACAGCATCATGTTAAGATGTAACAGAATCTATCTTCTTCAATTAATTTAAAGTACTTCCATTATTAAAAATAATAATTGAAGTAATGCAGTTACTGATATAACAGAAATAGTCTGTATTTATTCAACCGAAGTTAGCCGAGGACATGAAGGCGTAAAACAGGCAGCATGAAGAACAACTTCAGACCACAATTATTTTTCAATTTTTGAAATTCAGATGATCTTGCATGGATGCAAAAGAGGATGCTTTTATAAAGCAATTGTTAAGTTTGATGAAAATTAGTTGGAAAATCAATGAAAAATAAGAAAGAAAACAGTAAAAAATCGCCATTTTTCGTTATTTACGCGGGTTTTCACTATATGGGTGGACTCAATTATCAAGTTAAGTGACTGTTAAACAATTAACTTATTGTTGGCTACAATTGAGTAAAGTTTTCATTAAATTGCCTTAAAATTGAGGGAGTTTTTAGTTTAAAATTTGTGTTGAAATAGATTTTTCCTTTTACGCTCTTTTTCGCCTAAAGCAGTGGCGTGAAAATAAAAAATGCGGTATCGTTGAACTCGTCATGATGTAAGTAACCTACATACCGAGTTTAAACGAAATCGGAGGAAAAAAGTTGAATTTATCGATTTTTGATCGGCTTTATCGATTATTGATTTTTTCAAAACCTATCACTTATATAGTACAATGTATGTGCTAAGTTTTGTCAAAATCGGTTGGATGGATCTCGAGTGAAAAGGTAGGCACACAGACATCCTCTGTTTT